TGCTGTTGTCTTTCCTTCTAGTTGAAGAGTCTCTCCTCAGCCAGCTTTCCTGTGGTTCTGGGTGATGTCCGTTCCGTCTTTTAGTTGTATTTTTGAAGTGGTTGTTTGTGGCAGCAATCTCCGGTGTTTACCTATGCCGCCATCTTGGTCTCTCCTCTCATCATTGATGTTTCTATCTCTCCCTCTCTGTTCCTCTCGGAAATCAGTAAAAATATATTATATAAAAAAAAAAGATTCTCCCAAATGAATTCCATGTAATATATAACTACGTTCCTGAACATTTAGTTAGCACTTAACACTTAATACATACCATACTGGAGATAGATGGTGCTCATGGTTGCAAAACAATCTGAATGTACATAATGCTAGGGAACTATACACTTAAAAATGCTAAAATGGCAAGTCCTAGCTGGTTTGGCTCAGTGGATACAGCGTCTGCCTACGGACCAAAGGGTCCCAGATTCAATTCCCGTCAAGGGCACACACCTTGGTTGCAGGCTTCTCCCCGGCCTGGGCCCTGGTTGGGGCGCTTGCAGGAGGCAATCAGTCGATGTGTTTCTCTCACATTGATGTTTCTCTCTGTCTTTCCCTCTCCCATTCTCTCTAAAAGATCAATGGAAAAAAATTCTTGGGTGAGGATTAACAACAAAAGAAAAGTTAAAATGGTAAATTTGGTTATGTATATTTACCACATCAAAAGAAGCTTTTAAAAAAAAAAGCTATAAAAACAAACAAGAAGCCGAGGCCGGTTTGGCTCAGTGGATGGAGCGTCGGCCTGTGGACTGAAGGGTCCCAGGTTCGATTCCGGTCAGGGGCATGTGCCTGGGTTGCGGGCACGTCCCCAGTGGGGGATGTGCAGGAGGCAGCTGATCGATGTTTCTAACTGTCTCTCTCTCACCTTCCTCTCTGTGAAAAATCAATAAAATATATTTTAAAAAAACAACAACAACAAAAAAAAAACACAAGAAAATCTTTCAGTAATTAGAAAAATATATAGGTTTTTATTATCTTCAGATGACATGTGCTTTGTGCCCCTCAAAAATGACTTTTAAAGAATTAAAATATTACAACAGGCTGCTAGTTCAGTTTCTTTAATTAAAGGTAAAAATGCTTAATCTGATTATAAATGATAAATGTCTAGTATAGCCTCTATTCCTGAAACACAACAAAGATAAGGATTCTTGCCTTGACACAGTTCTGTTTCCCGTGTCATATATGTGAATATAAACTAATAGTATTACTTAGCCAGGTGTTATTTACTGTAATTCCGAATCTCATGATAATTCTAGAACTGAATTTAGACTGCAGGATGTGCCTCTATTTTTTAAAAAATATGTTTTTATTGAATTTAGAGAGAAAGGGAGTGATAAAATATCCATGTGAGAGAGAAATATCCATGTGAGAGATGCTGCCTTCTGCACACCCCCTAGTGGGGATGGAGCCCCAACCCATACATGTGTCCTGCAGGAATTCAACAGGTTACCTTTTGGTGCATGGTATGACGCTCAACCAATTGAGCCACACTGTTCAGGGCAGGATGTGCCTCTTTTAAACTGCTCTTCCCCTTTTGGTTTCTAGTTAGTGATTGCCCCCTGATATTTTTTAAAGCTAAATTTTATTTTCAATTTGCTCTTCGTTTGCAACTTTTATAATGACCAAGATATAAAACTAGATAAATTTGTAATTATTTTTTGTTACTGCTCTTCATTCACCTGTTTTCATCAGAATAAAACTTACTGTGGTTTATAATGAGATTGGCATGAATTTCTCAGCTTAAAAGTAAGATTTGGAGATAATATCCCTTGGGATTATGATTGCTTTCTTGCTTGGTGATTTGCTTCCACTTCCTAGGTTTTGAGATAAAGGGCAGGTAAAAAGTCTGCATGCCAAAAGCAGAAGACACTTGGGAATTTTTTCATCATGAACTTTTAAGTTGAAGGAATTTAGCTGGATTACAATATAGGAAATGGATGATTTTGCAGTAAAGTAAGTAGAGCTTGAAATACAGAAGAATGAAAGCTTCTATGTGAAAACATTTTAAGAGGAAAACATTTTTTCTCTTTATGGTTCATTGTGCTCTAGGAAAACACCACCAAGGGAGTGAAACACAGGATGTGATTGCATCAGACAAAGCAGCAGTAATACCAGTTGCCCATGAACATGAGCACAGCCATGACCACCACACACAGCTGCATGCCTATATTGGTGTTTCCTTGGTACTGGGCTTTGTTTTCATGTTGCTGGTGGACCAGATTGGCAGCTCCCACGTGTATGCTACTGATGGTAAGTGATTCCAAGGCTTTCTGGGCAGTGCATTAAATTTGCAGTCTAGAAAAGCACAAATGCTTGAATAATTTAATGTCACTGGCCTGATTTAGTGCTAAAACTTGTCTTCAGGTTCCTGTGAACATTTTATTCGTTTGGGGGAACTTAGTGAGTTGTGTGAGCATTTTATTCAGTTGGGGGAGCTAGTGAGTTGTGACATGTGACACAAGAGAGTGTTTATTGAGTATTGCCCTGGTTATCTTAAAACTTTCAAGTTTAGTTAAAAGTCTGGGGCAGAGTCTTTTTTTTTTTTAAATACTGTATTTTTTTATTTGGCATATTTCACTCAACATATGTTGGTAATATTCATCCATTTAGTTCCATGTAACAGTGGTTCATCAATTTTCTTTTTTTAATTATTTTTTAAAAATCTTTATTGTTGAAAGTATTACATATGCCCCTCTCCCCCCCCCCCCCCCATTGATCCCTTCTAGTTCCAGCCTGCTGACACTCTCCCTACCCTCACCCCCTTATCCCAGGCCTTCATCACCCTATTGTCTGTGTGCATGGGTTATGCATATATGCATACTGGGGCAGAAGTTCTTAAACCTTTTTGTGCCATGGAGCTCAAAAAAGCCTGTGGACCTTTTTTTGGAATAATGTTTTTAATTATGCAAAGCACTAGAGCCCTGGTGCGTGACATTCGTGCACTGAGGCGGGGGGCGGGGGTGTCCCTCAGCCCGCCCTCTCGCAGTCCAGGACCCCTCGGGGGATGTCCGCCTGCTGGCTTAGGCAATCAGACATCCATCTCGCATTCCGGGGCTCCTTGGCTCCTGCCACTGCTGCTGCGCTCGCCAGCCCGATATAGAGAGAGAGAGAGAGAGAGAGAGAGATCACAGCCAGAGAAGTCAGAAATCCAAGCACAAGAAGGATTTGATTCGGTGCTGTTTGCTTGAAGGTGGAAGGGGCCATGTGGCAAGGAATGTGGGCAGCCTCTAACAGTGATGGCGAGCCTATGACACGCGTGTCAGAGGTGACACGCGAACTCATTTTTTTTGGTTGATTTTTCTTTGTTAAATGGCATTTAAATATATAAAATAAATATCAAAAATATAAGTCTTTGTTTTACTATGGTTGCAAATATCAAAAAATTTCTATATGTGACACAGCACCAGAGTTAAGTTAGGGTTTTTCAAAATGCTGACACGCCGAGCTCAAAAGGTTCGCCATCACTGGCGTAGGGTTACAGAAAAAACCAATTATATTGAATTATGGTTACCAAAACATTAAAACAAATTTGTGATCTAGTAATATAGGTCTTCCTTATCAATGCATTAAATAATGAGATAATTCGTTTAAATCAGAAGCAGGGTTAAGTTTTATTTTTTAGGATATCTGTATGACAGCTACTACTGTTGCTTAGCTTGACTAAAAACATTAAATTGTGAGATGGGCTTTATCAAGGCAATATGAGTGTTAAGTTGAACATCCAGTTATTTGGGTGTTTGTTTTTATGGTCACTAGTTTAAAAAGTCCTGATTCACAAAGATATTTTCTTACAAATATATGTAGGCACATTGGTAGCTTGCTTATCAAGGAAAGATAAGCTTCTTTCAAGAACAACTAGAATTCTCTAAGACTTTTAAAATGTAACTCCAGTCATAGTAACTTTTTTGTCTTAAGATCACCGAATTCATCTTTGGTGAAGTCAACAACATCTTTGATCGGTGATACAACCTTGAAAGTATCATAATAGAAATAAACTTGAAAGAGTTGTAATAGACATAGGAGTTTACAGATATCTCTTTTCAAATACATTGACAGAGAATTTTGCAGATAGGAACTGCTGGAAAGCAGCATAGATATTTTGGTCCCTAGTGGGCAGCGATCCCATGACTTTTACCATTTGGCAGCTGAATGACTGTTAGGTGCAGAGATGCCTGATAGTTGCCCAGCTCTGTCACATGAGCATCTACAGACAGGAAGACTAATCATGCTTAATTTAAAGTAGTGATGAGTGAGAGCAATAATATCAAGATATCTACAACTGTAAAGTAATATCAAATTCTGGTTCTGGCAAAATATAAATAGTGCAAATATTATTTGTGGTTTATTGTCTACATTCATAATTAAAGGAAATGCTGATTTTTAATTAAAGGTTAGTAAAAATAAAAATGCATTTTTTTTCAAGGTAAGGTCACAGTCACCCCTGCGTTCTACCTGTGTTCTCCTCTGTGGATCCCAGGTTAAGAATCCTTGGCCTAAAAAGAACTGTAGAAAATCAGGCAAACAGATAGTTCATAAAAATGGTCCTTAAGCATATGAAGAGATATTCTTCACTTTCACTTAAAATAAGAACAATGCAAATCAAAACTCTGCTAAGATACCATTTTTCACCTGTCAGGCAAGAACTTAAAAGCTTGACAATACACTTTATTGGCAAAGCTATGGTGAAACAGAGGCTCTCATCTATTGCTGTGGGAATGCAAAACGGCACAGTCCTTGTGAGGGGGAATTTGGCAATATTTAAGAAAACTACATATGTAGTTACTCAAAAATCCCACTTTAGTAATTTATTCCAATAATATGGCTCCAATATGAAAATATTTATGTACAAGGTTATTCCATGCAGGACTATTTATTATTGTAAAACCACATAAATGTCTAATAATGGAGATTGGTTGAATGAAGTGTGGTGTGTACATATAATGGAGTTCTGTGTAACTATGAAAAAGAATGAGGAATCAGATCTCTGAACTGATAGGGAGAGATTTCTAGGAGATGTTATTAAGTGAATAAAAAAGCAAAAATGTAAATTCCCTTCTATCATATACTATATTTTGTGTAAGAAAGAAGGGAAAACAAGAATATATGTATTTATTTTTTTAAAAAAAGGAAACGTAGGATCAGCTAGAAAACATAGTTAGTTCCCTGTAAGGGATCGAGTAGGATGGGAGGGCATGATGGGACAGAATGGTTTCAGGAAGGTGTGACACTTCCTGGGCATGCCTTTTTGACTTTTGGGAACATGTTAATATTCTCCATATTAGAAAAATAAAATGAAATCATACACACACACACAGTGTCCCCCCAAAAGGTATACACACTTTAAATGATTATGTCAGTATTTGTTAACATACAGTTCGTTTTTAAAATTTAAAAGAATCTACAGAAATGAAAAATATTTTAGTCAATGCCTGTTTTCAGGCACTGGTCCAGGAATTGCTGATAACTCGAAGCAATGAAATTGCAAACATCAAGAATCATTTCATTTGGTATTTGTGTGCCCTCAATTCGTCAACTATTGTTGGTTTTATACCGTAAACTTTATCTTTCATTTATCCTAGTGGCACATTAGGATAAATTTTCTTTGTTCAGAGCTAAATCTGGCTTCACCCATTATTTCAAATCAGTTAAACCTGAAACGGAGTGAAAATTGAGTTATCAGCTTTAAAGTGTGTATACATTTTGGGGGAATATATATATATATATATATATACACACACACACACATATATATATATATATATGCCCATTACACGAAGATTCACGCAATAAGCTTTCCTTCCCCTGGCTGCTGGCACCGGTTTTCCTCCGGCACCCAGGACCCAGGCCTTTGGTCCGGTCGCAGCGGAGAAGCCAAGCCTCTTCAGTCTTCAGTCTTCACTCCGTGCCTGCGTATGCAAATTAACCGCCATCTTTGTTGAGTTAATTTGCATAGTCACTGATTGGCTGGTGGGTGTAGCGGAGTGACACCAATTTGCATGTTTCTCTTTTATTAGTGTAGATGTTTTTGTACATGTATGTATGTGTCTCCTAGCTGTGTCTGCAGGAGGGCCTAGAAAGAAAGATAACCCAATAGCAATGAGCATATTAGGGCTTTTCAGAGAAATGGCTAATTCCAGGACAGGGGCAAGGTAGCTACAAAATGAGCTTGGGACATCTAAGGGTCAAAAAAAGCAGGAAGAACGAAGTTGGAAACATGTCACAGGATGTATTGTGAACCAGCTTGAAGGGGCTCTCACTGGCCAGATATAAGACAATCAGAGCACCAAAATGATTAAGAATAGTAATGAAATGTAAAGCATTGAAAAAATGCGGATCGATGAGCCCATCTGAGGGGTGGAGGGGGTAGGTTAGTAGGTCAGGTAAGGGATGGGGGAGGTAGGAGAAAGGAAATAAAAGGAGAAGGGAGGGTACTTACTCACAGTGAAATGCTGAATGCCAGCTGGTAAATGTAGAAAGAATGCTGGAGTTGGAAAATTATCATTTTTGCAGCCTTCATAGTAAAAATTGTCTCAGGCAAGTATCATCAATGAATGTTAAATCTAGGGGGGCAGTAAATTTATTTTTTACATATATTTTTATTGATTTCAGAGAGGAAGGGAGAGGGAGAGAGAGATAGAAACATCAATGATGAGAGAGAATCATCAATCAGTTGCCTCCTGCATGTCCCCTTCTGGAGATCGAGCCCACAACACAGGCATGTGCCCTTGACCCTCCAGTTTGCAGGCTCATGCTCTATCTACTGAGCCAAACTGGCTAGGGCACGGAGGGTAAATTTTGATTTGCTTTTTAGTTGCAAGGAGGAAAGAAGTAACTAAATGAGGAAATTAGACAATTCCTTGACTAGATGATCAAAATTAATGGCATTGGTGTTCTGCTCTTGGTGTAGGCAAGTAAGTTCCTATCAGACCAACCTCCCTACAGATAACTAAACTCTGGACTAAATTTAAAAAACAACTATCCAAAGACACAGGAGAATGACCTAAAGCAGGCAAATTCTGACTCCCTAGTCAACACTTGAAACTAGGTGAGTTCCTGTTTTTACTGCATTTAGCAGTCATCAACTGCTGGGAGGGTCAAATGAAGACTTCCCTCTTATCCACCTCTTCAGGACAGGCGAAACTTCTAAGTGTTTGAAGCAGAAGACAAAAGAGAGTAGTGAGAAAAATAATCTACTTTAAGAGCTTTCAAAGGATTCATCTACCTCCGGGTTAGGGGGTATCTAATGGTTTTTGTTTCACATTGCTTAATGGCTGCCTTGCTTATTTTTACCTCAGATCCAGAAGCAGCAAGGCCTAGCAATTCCAAAATCACCACCACGCTGGGTCTGGTCGTCCATGCTGCAGGTAGGGAACCCTTTTCTTTTCTGTTGCATAGTGGGAGACTTAGTGTTTATATCACAGGGACCATCCACATGAACCACTCTTGGGCTGGCCTTCAGGGAAAGGGTTACCTAATGAAGCCCCCACCACCACAAGCACAAGCCCTGGTATACTCAGTGTCAGGTCTATAACTTAAAAGTGTTTTTTCTAATTTTTTAATAGTTAAGAAAAATATTATTTCATGGCACATGAAAATTACATAAAATTCAAATTTCAGTGTCCATACATAAGTTTTATTGGAACAAAGCCATATTATCTATCTGTGGCTGCTTTTGTACAATAATGGTGGAGTGAAGTAGTTGCAAGAGACCAAATGGCCCACAAAGCCTAAAATATTTCCTATCTCACCCTTTACGAAAAGTTTGCTGATCTTTGCTCAAGAATGTCATCTTGAAAGAGCCCCAGCACTTTTATACTGAACAGCGCTGCTGCCCAGTATATACCCAAAGTGTCAGTTTATCAGCAGTGGGCTGTAGAGTGCAGAAGTCTCAGCATTGCTGACTGGGCATGCCTTAGAATCATAACCCAAAACCGATCCCATGGTAGGATTCTGTCAGTGACAAACAGAGACTGGAAGGTGGCACACTATTATCTGGACTTTTCTAGTACCACATGCTTTTTTAACAAAAAATCTATCCATTCAAGCAACATTTACTCATTATGTATATACCAACTATGCAGAGTCTTGTGTCTTTATTTTGTTTTTGGATCTGCAAGATGCAGAGATGCTTCCTTTGAAATTCTTTGATATTTATGTTATTACAATTTGATTATCATTGCATTTTTTAAAATTGATTTGAGAGAGAAAGAAACACTGATTTGTTGTTCCACTCATATCATGCATTTATTGATTAATTCTTGTATGTGCCTTGACTGGGGATTGAACCTGCAACCTTGGTGTGTCAGGATGACAGTCTAATCAACTGAACTACCTGGCCAGGGCTTATCAGTGGATTTTTTGAGTATCATACTTTTTCCAATAACATCAACAGTAATAGCTGACATATCAAATATTGTGGGCCAGGTGCTAAGCTCTTTATTTTTTATTTATTTATTTTTTTTGAGAGAGAAACATTAATCAGCTGCCTCCTACACAGCCCCTACTGGGGATGTGCCCGCAAGCAAGGTACATGCGTTTGGCCAGAATCGAACCCGGGACCCTTCAGTCCGCAGGCCGACGCTCTATCCACTGAGCCAAACCGGTTAGGGCGGTGCTAAGCTCTTTACATATGTTATCTCATTTAACCCTCATGAAAACCCTAAGAATATATACTTTATTGAACCCATTTTAGAGATGAGAAGGCTAAGGTTTAGAAAAGTTAAATAAACTTTAGAGTTAAATCCAGCTCTACTTGACTCTGCAGCCCACACAGTCAATCACTACACTGTATAGTTGTTGTTGATATTTATAGTTGTTGTTACATATAGTGCTTTATGTTTTGCTTTTTTCAAATTTAGCTGATGGTGTTGCATTGGGAGCAGCAGCTTCTACTTCACAGACTAGTGTCCAGTTAATTGTGTTTGTGGCAATAATGCTACATAAGGTAAGCAAAATTTTGGTGTAAGATTTACTATTGAATATATTCATAATTAAAATTTCTCTTTGGTCATAATGTTTTTCTGGAATGGGAAATTTTTTTAGTTATTTTCATGATTGCAGTTCATTCTAGAGAATTGAATAAATCTGTCCTAGCTGTTTTTTTGCTATTATTTTCTTAAATTTTCACTTGAAGGGGTTTTATTTGTATTTATTTATTTGTATTTTTAAAATATTTTTAATTGATTTTTAGATAGAGAGTAAAGGACGAGAGAGGGAGAGAGAGATAGAAACATCGATGAGAGAGAAACATCAATTGGTTGCCTCATGCACACCCCCTGCTGGGGATCAAGCTTGCAATCCAGGCATGTGCACTGACTGGGAATTGAACTGGGGCATGGGAAGACACTCAACCTGCTGAGCCATACCAGCTGGGCAAAAGGGTTTTATTTATTGTGGTTTTACAGAAACTGTTAAATTCTCTCTAGATTTCTATATTTTATAGTAATTTTGGTTTATAAATATTTTTTCTTGTACTTTCTTCTTGACTATTTCTCTTTTTCTGCTATCCAAAAACATGCATACACACACACACACACACACACACACACACATACACAAACACACACATGCACACACACAAATATGATATTTTCTTAGGTTAGAACATTAATTCCTAAAAGGCATTAATTTTTTTTTTTTTTTGTATGAAAATTGAGTCAAATGACACGTACTTCTTCATGTAGAAGCAGTCCATACTTCGGGAGTAATAAGGGGCAAATTTTCTTTTCCAGGCACCAGCTGCTTTTGGGCTGGTTTCGTTCTTAATGCATGCTGGCCTAGAGCGGAATCGAATCAGAAAGCACTTACTGGTCTTTGCACTGGCAGCACCAGTTATGTCCATGGTGACATTCCTAGGACTAAGTAAGGTAAGTCTAACTCATTCCTATTCTTTCGTTATGTACTAGAACTTACGGTCTCTTACATTGAATTTTTAATTAAATTAGTCCCTCAAACTAAAGATACAATTAGGCCCTGGCCAGTGTGGCTCAGTTGGTTGGAGTGTTGTCCTGTACACCAAAGGTTGTGAGTTTGATTCCCGATCAGGGCACATATCCCAGGTTGCATATATCCCATTCCAGGGGCATATGGGAAGCAACCGATCGATTTTTCTCTCTCACATCAATGTTTCCCTCTCTCTCTCCCTACCTCTCTCTACAAAATCAATAAAAGAAAAAGGGAAAGAAAGAAAGATAAAATTAGGAGTAAAAACCTGTACAAGGTAAATGTCTTAATTCCAAATCTCTTCATAAATTTAGAGCATTTCCTTAATTCATTTAATTTGAAAACATTTTTCCCATAAGTTCCAAAAATATTTGCACAAATATAAGACCTATATGACCTATAAAATAATATAACTTAAACTTAACCAGACATGCTAATTTTATTTGACAGATACGTAATAAATCACAATGCATACTTAATGTTTAAGTAGGCACATGAAGTGTGAGTGACAAGCATGCAGCATCTTTGAGAAGAGTAGGGGATGAGCAGAGATGTCTACATTCAGCTAAGACTCAGATTCTTCTACTCCAAGCTCTCATACCACTGAATATCAAATATCCAGTTCCTTGGGATCTAAGAAACTAAATGAACAAATAAGACAAAAACAGACTCATAGAAACAGCTCAAGCTGATGGATGCCAGAGGAGAGGGGAGTCGGGGGGATGGTTGAAAAAGGTGACGGAGAATATGAAGTCAATAATAATGTGATCAGTTTGCATGGTGACAGATAATTACTAGACTTGGTGAGGTAATTACATTTGTAAGGTATATAAATGTTGAATCACTATATTGTACACCTGAAACTAATACAATATTATATACCATGATACATAATCCTCCTATATAATAAAAGGGTAATATGCAAATTGTCCCCTTGACTGGGAGTTCAACCCAAGTTTAACAAGGGGGCGGGGTGGGGCCAGCCCAACCGCCTAGGGCCCCTCCCCCTGGCTGGCCCCGCCCCTGATCTGCCCCCCACTCCCCAATCAGGGGTGGGGCCTGCCAGCCAACCTCCTGCGTCCCTAACCCCTCCCCGCCCTCGCCCAGCCCTGATCAGAGCAGGCTGGCCAGACCCCACCTGTGCATAAATTTGTGCACTGGGCCCCTAGTAAATAAATACCCAGTTCTTTATCACCTGAAGTGGCATGAGTCATTTGTCAGCTCAGACCCTGTTGTTCAAGATGGACCTTCCCATGCCTTATAATCCTGCCTATTAGGGCTGTAGTTCTTAGCGGCAACCCTCCCCATTTTACTGAAATGTCAACTGTCAGGCAATAGGAAAAAATTTTAGAACCAAACTGACTCAGGGCTGGTTCATGGGAACTGCTTTCCCCCCTACACTCTCTGAAGGTCATTGAGTCTTCTGAGTATCATTCAATTCATACTTGATATAATAAAACTTGTATTAAAAGGAACATGAGAAATGAGATGGTTAAAGAGTGGTTAAGCTCCTGTTAATCAAGAATTTGTTGGCCTGGATGGAGTGCCATCAAATGAGGTGCTATAAAGCCCCTTTTAGTTCACCTGAAGAGCCTTTTTTCAGTCCATGAACAATATATAGTTCCTTTTAAAATACTGTAGTACCCTATTTATCACTTCATTGATGAGTGTAAGTTTTTAGAACTTTTGACAGGAATGTAGGATAATTCTGGAGGCATGGAGTTATATTTATGGCATGATCTTTTCTTAAAATTTTATTTATTTTTTAAAAAATATATTTTACTGATTTTTTACAGAGAGGAAGGGAGAGGGATAGAAAGTTAGAAACATCAATGAGAGAGAAACACCAATCAGCTGCCTCCTGCACACCTCCCACTGGGGATGTGCCCACAACCAAGGTACATGCCCTTGACTGGAATCAAACCTGGGACCTTTCAGTCCGCAGGCCGACACTCTATCCACTGAGCCAAACCAGTTAGGGCTTTTCTTAAAATTTTAATTGTCTCAGTCCATAGGTCCACTTTTTAAATAGAAAAGCTAAAATTAGCTTATGAGATGTTTCTAGGCTCTGTGAGGGCAGGTATACATTTTGATTGCCACTGTATCTCAAGCACCTGGCCTACTGCCTGGTACATAGGCAGTATTTGTTAAATATTAGTAAATGAAATAGAGTGTATGAAATTTAATATCTGTATTAATAATGCTGTTGATTCCATCTTATGAATAATACAGGCTAACCATGTTCAACCAGGCTTGGAGTTTGTACATTACCAATAGCCTTAAAACCTTATTTGGAAGCTTCCCATAAATAACGTAAAATTGCTCTCATCTCAAGATGTCCCCAGATAGCACTAGTCATGAATATTGAGTGGTTTTTCATTGGGACTTCTTCCTGACCCTGAACTAGACTTGACTTAATTTTTCTTCTCTCTCTTTCTGAATTCACAGAGCAGTAAAGAAGCCCTTTCAGAGGTCAATGCCACTGGAGTGGCCATGCTTTTCTCTGCCGGGACATTTCTTTATGTTGCCACAGTACATGTCCTCCCTGAGGTGGGCGGAATGGGGCACAGTCACAAATCCGATGCCACTGGAGGGAAAGGCCTCAGCCGCCTGGAGGTGGCAGCCCTGGTTCTGGGTTGCATCATCCCACTCATCCTGTCAGTAGGACACCAGCATTAAATGTTCAGGTTCCAGCCTCAGTCCACGGCCGTTTGCCATCCAGTGAGAACAGCCGACAGAACAGCTGCTCACTTTCTCAGTCTCTTGTCTCACCTTGCCCATCTCCACCTGTATTCCTAGAGTCTGGAGGGAGGTGAGATTAAAACCTGGAGTCATGGAAAGCTTTTAGAATAGAAACAACACATTGCAAGTGGATATAGACATTCCATTGTGTTGTCTTTTAAAAGGCCCTGGGCATTTTGAGTTTTGATGTTTCTCTTAACCCTATTCTCAGGGAAGATGGAATACAGTTCTAAGGAAAAGTGGAGAACTTCATACTCACAATGAAATAGTAATTATGACAGTCCAGTGTTCTGTAATTAAGCGAAATCTCTTAATTTAGAGGCTCTGCCACTTTATGCATTGATTTTTAAGATGGGTCTCACCGTGTAAAACTGGTGCTTTAGCATCTATGCCACATGCCTTGATAGAAGGTCATAATGCCTGCTGTCTTAGATGCTAAAGATAACTGTAGTTAATTTGGGGCTCCAGTCAAAAAAATGATGGCAAGACACATTGAAAGTTGACTTTATATTCAAGAGCTGTCCCCTGCAAAGGGGCTGTCGGGAGGACTTTAACTTCCTTCTGCGAGTGCCTCTTTGAAGAGAGCCTGCCATAGAGCAACAGCAGCGGACTGGCTTCTAAAGAGGTGACTCGTACTTAGTAGCATTTCTTTTCAAGTTCTCCTTTGCAGAACACCTGCCTCCAACACATTCTTATGAGGAGCCAAGTTCTAGTAGGTTCAGGCCTAGGCTTTCCTTCAAGAACAGTCAGATCCCAAAGTATCTTTGGAAATTAAGTGGTGTTAAATTTTAAGTGAATTTGGATAGTTACTGACATCTTTGTAACAGCCTTTTTAAAAGTAAGATTATCAAAACCTAAGTTGTCCTTTTTTTTTTTTAAGTATTTATCTTAGCAGACCAGCAGTCCCTCTGACAAAATACTGGGTTTCTCTTGGGGGGTGCTCAGTCAGCGTCACCTCAGCACCTGCAGCAGTGAAGAAAGATGTATCACAAATGGGAAATGTTGGCCTGTTCATTTAAAGCTTATTGAAATAATGTCTTTTGTCTCTTCATCTTTTCCATATTTTTCTCCTCTAACTTTCCCCTCCAGTCCCTCCTCCCTACAATTTGCTGCTTACTGCTGGTGGCGAGGTTAGTATTTGTGTGAGTTCAGTTCTCATCAGGACAACCACTTCTCGAGCTGTGATGATGAAGATAATACTGTTTCTATTCCTTATTCTTATTCCCTTCAATGAAGTTCCTTTGTGTCAAATGCAGTTTTGCTAAACCCTTAAAATAGCACTTTTTCTCAGATGAGATGACACAATCATTAATATTCTGGTAACTTAAACAATTGAGATAGTAAAAATGTTTAACAAACTAGGATGATTTTTTTGTCTTTGCCAATATCCCTGTAAACCTTATGTTATCAAACAAGTGTATAATATTATTTTATTATTTATTTTGATTTTCTATACCATTTCAAAACACATTGCATAAAGAGGGAACCATAATATTTTCTTAAGGGCAATGGATTTAGGAGTTCGTAAAAATTTTTTTTATGACGCATATGCCAGCATGCCTATGATTTTTTTTCCTTCCTAGATTTGTCACTGGGTCAGCAGCTGTAGAACTTGTGAGCCCTCTGCTGGCTGTAGACCAAAGTAGTATTAATAGGATTAAGTTTTGTATAGTGGCTGGCAACCATTGCATACAATCTTAAAACCAATGGAAGGTATAATACAGAAAGTCTAAGTGACTTTCCCAATAACACTGACTTATGAGAGTCATGGAGTTTCACCTGGTCCTTCAGAATGACATGGTTGCCTTGATTCTCCCTGGATATTTACTTTGTTAAATGAGTAGGGTATTTTAGTGTCTGGTTTGGATGGTAGCACTTTCTATCATATTGTCGTGTGCAGTGATGAGAAATGTGTTCTGCTGGCCAAAGCTCCTTTCAGCAGTGCCTTGCCATCACACTTAAAAGTTTGGCTAGAATATCTTGCTGGTTAAGGCCTTGAACTCTGGCAAGGATTGAACCATGTAACTTCCAAATTTGCCTTCCTCTCTGGACCTCACATTAATAGGCAAACCTTTCAAGGCCTATCAGCTCTCCGAGGCTGTGGGCTTTCCCAGATTTTAAAGCTGCTGCCTCAGGAACTACTCATTTCTCCTGGTCAGCAGACAGAAATAGCCATACTAACCTTATAGGGCTCAAATGCATCTTCAGGCAGCACGGAACCGAGCAGTGCGGCAGAGGCCTCCCTTCCCTGGGGGAGGAACTTGCCCATGGTGGGCAGTGTCCCAGGAGAGGCCACATCGCTGATCATTTACTGACACATTTCAGTTCCATTTCTGTCTTGTTTAAACTGCCTCCTTAGATGTGGATGCCTTAATGCTCTCACACATTTGAAAACATTTGCAATACCTAAGTGGCTGCCATGATCACAGATGGAAATATTGGCTACCAAAGATGCAATTGATGATGAAAAGTATAGTCCTTCCTTCCCCATAACCAAAGTTAATCTTAGTTGCAATTTGACTCCCTTTCCTTGGTAGGAATAGACTTTCTTCAGATTCCACATAAGTGGCAAATTAAGTTGAAAAAATACTACTGATCATTCCCGTCACTTGTTCTCCAGTGAATTGCTTCTCAGGCCCTCGTTCTCCAGAGCAGCAATGTTCCAGGTCTGGTGGCTTCCTGTGCACACTAGGGCCGATTTCTTTTCTTTAGGCAAAGGTTCTTCACTGGAGTGTAGTGTTAGAAATGGTACCGTCTACAGAGGCTGTGTTCTCTCTTCCCACCCCACCCCAAATCACCTTTTTTTTCCCTGTTCAAATCATCTGAGTCAGCCCTGTTCCTATATTTTGAATCATCTTTAGAAAAAAGAGAGAGGTGGCCATTTTGAGTGGTCAGTTCTTTGTAAAAAGGAGAAAATGTAATTGCGTTTTTTTACCGGCCTACTACGAAGTGTCACTGCCTGGTTTTTTCTCCTTTTCAAGGATTAAAACTAGGAGGACACACCAGCATTGAGTGTATTAAGCTCCTTAGACACATGGTAGCTAGTACTAAGCATGGGAACTGTATGTCAACAGCACAAGACCCCAAAGAATGTTCTTGCATATGGGGCCCCAGGACCCCTTGATAGACCGAGAATAATGACCAGATTCATCCAAAACTGCTGAACCCTCTGTGGGTGTCCTGCAGGGGAATTTCTGCTCAATACAGAATGGTTCGCATCACCCAGAGAGCACTGTTGGAGATGCCATGAAATAAAACCACTGATGTGGCCCCTTCGTACCTGAGACATCTAGATTCACCTCCGGAGACCCGAGGGAAATTTGTGACTTGTAGGAAAGGACAAAACAGCCATTAAGGATATGCTCAGATACGCTCAGCCTAACATGAGCTCGGCTTTGATCTTTTTTCTGATAGCATCTTCTAGCAAGTTGGGAGACTGGGATATGCTCAGATACGCTCAGCCTTTTTTCTGATAGCATCTTCTAGCAAGTTGGGAGACTCATGAAGATACACTGCAGTTCCCCTGGTGCAGTGGCCTGAACAGTGATTTTAAATGTCCCATTTTCTGGGTCCTTTGTAAACATGAAATCATTCCATGTATGGCTGCCTTATAATTTTGTCTCTTTCCACTTTAATTGTGAATGGTTAAACAATTTTTTTGCTGTTTTCTGATATTAAAATTTTATTAGTGCATACCTTATGTGAGTAGCTCATTAATTATCCAGTTTGTTTTTTCTGTTTGATGACCAGACTTGACCCACATTTGAACAGCAGAAAAGGTAATGAAGAGCTTTGAAGAGCAGAGGAAAGATGTACCCACTGAGTGCACGTCCTTTAGAGGAGGGAAGGAAAGGGGGAGGGGACACTAAGGATTCCATACACCATCTCCCCCCAAACATACCAATTCATTGGCAGTTTCCTTTTTTTTTTTTTTTTGGCTTTGCTATTGTTGTTAGCAAATATTATTATTATTATTTTTTAAATATATTTTATTGATTTTTTACAGAGAGGAAGGGAGAGGGATAGAGAGTTAGAAACATCGATGAGTTAGAAACATCGATGAGAGAGAAACATCGATCAGCTGCCTCCTGCACACCCCCCACTGGGGATGTGCCCGCAACCAAGGTACATGCCC